CAAAAAATACGACCATAAATAATGGGGATAAAATGGGTTATTTCAAAACAAAAGCTGCAATAAAAAATATTTATTTAAAAAAAGTGATCTACAACCTCTATAAAATTATCGATATCGATATTGTTTATACTTAAACCTATTTATCTTTGTTAGATATTATTCCAAAAAACTTCGTTTGTTTAAAACCCGAGTATAAATAACGGATATAAAAAGGTTTATGCACGATGACATTATAATATGACAATTATAACAAAAATTCTTTGACGTAAACGTCTTTTTATAGCCCGCGGGCGTTATTATGGCCCAGCGGGCTATAATGAAACGTCAAAAATTAAAAACAACAATGTTACACCATTTGATATATTCGAAGTAAGTTTTTTCGTATAAAGATTTTGATTTTACCGGCAGCAGGCCGCAATTTTTCGCCTTTTCAGCTGCTTCCTCAATTTCATTTATCTTTAAACTTTAAAACTGACTGATGTCAGTTGACATTATAATATGACAATTATAACAAAAATTCTTTGACGTAAACGTCTTTAAAAACAATAATATATTAAAAATAATAATATATTAATCGTGCATAAAGTTTTGTATGCATTGCTGGCATAACTGGTTTTTATGGTCCTACGACGCTTTTCTAGCCCTCGCGCTAACGCGCTCGGGCCATAAAAACCTTATTATGCCCTTAATACATAAATAACTATTATGTGGATAATTAAAAAAAAGCTTAAGTGATAATATTTATTTCGAAAAAGTTTTAGTCTCAATGAGATCTACAACCTTTATAACGTTGTACATTTTGAGTAACAACACAATTTCACCTTTCATAGTTTTTAAATTAATATTAGATAAGACATAAGGTAATAAACAAGTTTTTTATTTATAAAGATTTAACCATCATTTAATCGTTTTAAAATGGCACACATAACTTAATAATTAACTTTCATTTAAATTAAATGCCTACTTATTAGTTTTTATTATCTATTTCTTTAATATAAATTATAATTTCGTAATCCGGTTAGGCAGTGGTTAAATTTTAATTGGGTACCTAATAATTTTAAATATTTTACAATTTTGTACATATATAAATGATTTATTATTGTTTATTTGTTGTAATGAAAAATTTAAACATTTTAATTCATTTTTGATTTAACCTTGCAACTTTGTGGAATTCTAAGTGGTTTACCCTGCATAATACGCAAATAAAGTCAATAAACCAAAGCAATTAAATAAATTAATTTTAGTTTTTTGACTTCAAAGGTCAAACAATTCTTCCTTAAAAAAATTTCCATTTGGTACCCTTAATTTTACAATAAATACATATGCAAATTAACCATAAATAATTATTATATAAAGTAATTAAAAAACATTTAGAGATCAATCATTCTTGTCAAAAAAGTTAAATAATAATTTGTAAGACTAAAATGTACATTTAGCAACATTAAGATTTAAAGTACTTTCTTTTTACACATGGGATAGATTTTTTTTGTCAGTATTAAAAATTTAAGTTATTTTAATATCCAATATCAATACATTTTTCACAAATTTTATTGTAACTTTAAAGTTTGAAATAAATGTACCTATACCTATATTTCCGTATAGGTGCGTACAACACTCTTTTGGTGAATAATCAATTTAGTTTTAAATTAGTAAAGTACGCAATCTTTTTTTAATTGTAAAAAAAATTAATTATTGTTAAAACAACAGAATATTTTAACATTAGTTTCTTTACGAAAATGTATACCTACAAGATTTTGGTTATACAGTGATTAAGAATATAATTATATCTACACACAGTGTGACCCATTTGTTTGCGACTCACCCCTGTAAAATCTTTATTTATTGTGCAATTTTAACCGGATTTGTTTTAAAGTGTAGATCTTGATAAACTGTATTTTTGGAGCATATTTTTACAAAATACAAGGCCTACTATGTCAGTTTTTAAGAGTTCATATTAGCGATTTTTTTAAACAAAATCTAAGCACTGCACTGGATTCACCACCCCTCAAAACGATTATTGAAAAATTTTAAGTACAAAAATGCCCAATAATAACTACAAATTTTTTTTCTGTCAAGTTATCCATGAAAAAAACATTGACATAAAATTAAACTAAAAGTAACATGCATGTACTATTACTATAAAATAAATAAAAAATTTCAATAAAATTTAGCAAAGGGTCGTTTTGGGGGGTGGTAAATCCAGTGCCGTGCTTAGATTTTGTTTAAAAAAATCGCTAATATAAATTCTTAAAAATTTACTCTTGAAAAACTGACATAGTAGACCTTGTATTTTGTATAAATATGGCGTTTTTTGCTCCAAAAATGCATCAAGATCTACACTTTAAAACAAATCTGGTTAAAATCGCACAATAAATATAGATAAACAAATGGGTAACACTGTATATAGATATAATATAATTATATATACAGGGTGTTATGTAATTAATGTTATATATTAAAATGGGTTGTTCCTTAGGGTCCATAAAGAAGCACCTGAAACTTTTTCTTCTAAATTCCAAAGAATAAAAATAATTTATAATAACCTTTATCCTACCAAAAAGTACGCCACTGATCGACTAGGAACTTTAGGGTAATCTGGTTGCCTAATTTAATTTATTATGTTATGGTTGGTAACCCTGGTTGGTAACAACAGCGTTTCCAAATTCTATCAAAAAAGTTGACAAACATTGTTTAAATTTAGTTTAATTACAAAAATGATAAAATTAACAATGCAAATTGTCAATTTGGCGTTTTTATTAATTGTTGGTTATGTCATTTTTGTACTGAAGGTAAATTCAAACTAAATCTGCAAACTTTTATGACAGAATCTAGTGCATTTCTTTCAAATTTTAGGTTATGTGCTCAAATTGTAAATATTTTAACTAAGGGAAGTGCTTTTATTTACACAAATTAAATATTTCAAGTTTAACCTCTGAACTGGTCCCAATTTCATCTGAGTAAACAGAAAGAAAAAAACGAGGAAAAAATTAATCTTCTAATCATTGCTTAAGCTAATAGCTGGATGAGTAAATAAATATAGAAGGGTATCAGAACTTTAAGGGCATTAAACTTATATTTATTGAGTTTTTATTTATTTTTTACAAGAAAATTTTTTTACATCTGGCAACACGCAGCTACTTTGTTGGTTGGTATTTATGTACTCACAGAACACAAGTGTGCAGAGATAAACCAATTGTGTAACCAGTGGCGTATCACAAAAAATATAAAAAACTTCTAATGCCTATTTTTTCTTCATCTTTGGAAAAATATTTTTTTAAATATTTTTCCTTTACTCCTTATGTTAAAAGGTATTCAGTATTTTAATATATAACATTAATTACATAATACCCTGTATATATATATATATATATATATACATATAGATATATAATAAATTGTACAAAAGTATTTGTAAATTTGCTTAAACATTTTTTTCGTGTACAATACCTACAAAAAAATGACACTTATTTTTTATTTATTGATGTTTTTCAAAAACCAATGGAAACTTTCAATTTCAGGCATGTGTCGTTTTAGCCAATCAAAAATCAAAACATTATTATGGTGAAGTATATAAAAAGATTCAACAAACATGTTTGTTCGAGATTAAATCTTGTTCTATATATTTAAATAAAAAAAAATATTTTGAAAATTTTTTCCAAACAAATTTTTTTTTTCAATTTCGTTTTTTAATCCTATTTTTCATCAAGCAAGTTTAATCGGAGTCGGAACGCGCTATTTATTCATTTATTACTGTCAGTGTTTTTATGTTTTGACAGTTTAATCAAGAACATTTTGGGATTCAAAAACGAAAAATAAAGAGTCCTAAATTCGAATAAAAGCTTTTGTTTATCAAATTTGCATAAAAAATATTTTTTTTAAATTAAAGATCTATTTCATTTTTTCAAAAAATCATTGTCATTATGTTAAAAGGTATTCAGTATTTAAATTTTAAAACTTATTAATTTAGTACCTGTTACATTGTTACAACAAAAAATAAGTTAAATATTCATATAAAACCTAAAGAAAATATATTTTTTAAACTATTTTTTAAGATTTTTAAATGTAATACTACGAAATTAAAACATGTACATATGTACATATATGTAATTAAATACCATGAAATGTTAAATATACTTGTACATTTTTTTTAATTTTCTTGGTATGTACTTGTATAATTCAAATTAATGCAACTTTTTATAATATTATAGATTATGGATTAAAAAAATAAAAATATGAAACTGTAAAATGAATTACAGATTTTGATTAAAAAATTGTAGTTTAGAATATTTAAAATAAAATCAATAATATCTTGTTTTTAGGAATAAAAATTAAACCTACTAAAATATTTAAATTTCGTTACCATAGATCAATAAAATAAAATATTATTATTGATTAATTCACTAAACAAACAACGAAATTCAAAAATATTAATTTTTAGGAACCAATTAAAAACATATTCAAATAGATTTTACGTAAACTACAGTTTTATCCACAATTATTACTAAATTGGACCTTGATAGTGTTAAGAAATTCAATAATTTATTTTCCAATGAATAAAATAATGAAAATGTTTAGTTATTTATGATTTAAATTATATAAATAAAATATAACCAATACCGGCATTAAAAGTCGACCTATTAAATCACATAATTTTTAAATTCAGACACATTTTTTAATCGCAGTTAAAGATTTAAATATACGCTGACACAGTTATTTCAATGAAACTTGAAAAATTAAATTAAAAATTAAAATTTAATAGACAAGGCCGAACTTTACACTATGAAAAACATGGAAAAAAATGTCTACGTTGAAACTGAAAAACGTGGCTATCATTGTTGTTGCATAAGAAAAAGAAAAAAATAGCCGACTCTTAAATGTTAAATACAGTGAGCAAATGAAAGTGAAAACAATATGTTTTTACCCGGGGCGCATTGAAACCGATCGAATCCTTTTGGCAAGTAGGTTAGTGGCGTGTTAATTAAAAAATCAAAAGCACTTACAAAATGTTAAATTTCATTTTTGTATATCTACAGGGATGACCCGTTAGCACTGAGGAGAAACAATTCACTAGAATTACGGTTCGTACAAAACTTATATTTATAAATTCAGTATTCTGTTTTCCCTTCACTTTGCAGTCGAGCAGAAGAATTGAAAGTCTTAAGGCGTCCTCGCGAAGAAGTCGGAAGGTTAGTATTTGTTTGGATTGTTGGTTTTCGGAGTGTTTATAGAATATATGTTTTTTTAAATTTTTTGACGGTTTATTGGATTAAAAAGATATTTTGCAAATTTTAAATGCATATTCTTTAAATAATTCATTCACAATTACATTATTAAATCCACATTACCTTTTTATTAGTCTATTTATTCCACAGCTCAAACGATGCCTATAAATTGGCAGAGTAATTTTAAAATAGGAAACATTTATTATTAAAAATCAAAACCTTTTATTTGAATTTTTTAATTTTTCGGAAAATAAATTTAGGGAAAAGTGCAAAATTAAATTATTAAGAGACAATTGATTTATAGCCTATAGGCTATATATATATATATATATATATATATATATATATATTAGGGTGTGCCAAAAAATTCGATATTTTTTTTCTTGCTCTCCACCCAAAATATCGTAGAATATGTCCGAAAAAATATCCTGTTAACAGCGGAGCTCATAATTTCAATTTTAAGAGGTCCTCCATCGAATCTGAAGTTTTGCCGCTTAAATAACACAGAAAACTGACTTTTTTACCTTATTTATTCTTGCAACCTATAGGAAGAAATTTTTTGTTCATAAAATCCATGACCAAATCTTACAAAGCATTAAATTTGGACGAGAAAATCTTATTAAGCCGAATTTCTATTTTCATTATTTGATTTTTTACAGAGCTTTAAATTTAAAATTTTACGTTTTTTGCCTTTTTCAGCTAAACTATTGAAGTTAGACGAAAAAGTCAAATGGCAATTTTTCAGCTTGTCTGATGGACCACAAAAAAGTTTAAGGCAAATTTTTTGTATCGTCAATATTCTAACAGACGTATAAAGTCATCATTTTTGTATTATTAACTTTAAATTTAAAGCTCTGTAAAAAATCAAATAATGAAAATAGAAATTTGGCTTAATACGATTTTTCAGATTCGATGGAGGACCTCTTAAAATTGAAATTATGAGCTCCGCTTTTAACAGAATATTTGTTCGGACATATTCTACGATATTTTGGGTGGAGAGCAAGCAAAAAAAATATCGAGTTTTTTTGGCACACCCTAATATATATATAAACTACAGGAAATGTTATTGTTTATTTCTTTTGTTTATTTTTTTTGTAATTGTTTTACGAGTTTCATTATTTTTTTTTTATTTAAATATGACATTTCCAAAATACAACAAAACTTTCAAAATGACAGATCACATATTAAAAAACTTTTTTACAATCTAGGCCTAATAACCTTTTAACTAATACCCAAATAGAGCTTTATTTTGAATCAAATTGTAAAACCACACCGAAAATCTTACAAAATTCGGATAAGTTTTTTTTCGATAATAAAGCTTGAGTAATGTTATATTTTAATTTTCGCTTTTACATGCGTTCACTAAATCATTTTTTTTTTGGAACGCATAGAAATCTATAAAATTTATATGGTATAAAACCTTGATCTTACCTGCATCTGGCCCACTCATAGTGTATGTCAAAAAGTTAATCCACCTTTAACTGTAATGTCTTCAACTTAAGCGATTCGTTTAAACAAAATAAACCATACAATAAGTATTAAATTTACCGACATTTGCAAACCCGCGTGTGTCAACATAAAAACTCACAGACATATTTCTGGTATTTTGTAAGCTTAATGGCCTACTTGACCGTTTTTAGCATAAGAAAACTTAGTGCTCCATCATTACCAAAAATTGACTTTTTCTGGCCCACAGTGCCTCGTCAGACATACGGTTCTTTTAAGAACCAAAAACCGACATCACAGAGAAGATCCCGGAAAATCATCAATACATATATATATATATATATATATATATAGATATACGTATATATGTATATATATATATTCATATATAATAGTACCTCAATGAGGTCAATATAATATAATGCACTAGAGAACATAACTTCAGTTGTTGTGTAGAGCTTAACGTCATTTTTGGTTTTATTATGTTATTAATTTCCACCAACTGACATATCCCATTACAACGTTTACGATATTAAAATCTGCATGTAAACATAACCTTAGTAAGCAAACAAACTTATAGGTTTTTTAGCTAAATCACATATTAAATCTATCAGCAAATAGACCACAAGTTAAACGGCTATATTGGTTTTACCGCAATATATCAAAAAAGAAAAAAGATATTTTTTCAGATTAACTCAAATAAATTATGATCAAACATCATCACAAATCGACTTTAGATTATTTGAATTCAAGACGGTGACACATAAATAAATAAATGTGGGAAAAACTGTATTTAGGGGGATCTAAATCTAATGACATCTTAATTGATTGTAGTCCAAATTCAGTAGGTTTAGACTGCTAAAGCAAAACTAATTTTAGACAATTAGGTTAAATTTTGAGAAGTCGCAAATTCGATATGTAGTAAATACCATGCTCTGGATATTTGTAATAGCTTCCGATATGCTGCACTCCATATTAGACACGAATATATTTTTACAATTTTGGTACCTTATTCATGGAACAAAAAATAAATTGCTAAACAATGTTGTTTATTGGATATTTGGGCAATAAGAGATTAACTAAAAGGTTACTTATACATTTCACCGCGATTTAAATGTATATCATGACTAAGTCTCTCTGGTATTTTTTTAATAAGCTTATACATTATTTGTCTTGTGTTTTCACCATCAATGGATTTCTCATAATTAACCGAATGTTGCCCTCTTTTGTGGAAGTAGAATTGTTCTGATAATGAGGCTATATTGCCACTTTTAGACCCATTTTTTAGTAAAATAATATTATTTTGTGATAAATATTAGGTAATTAATCCAGTGAGCATTTAATTCCTAAAATGGAATTGTGTTTGTTGCAACGTCGCAGATTAAATTTAACATCATTCATTTGATTAAATGCACTGTTTGGAATTGCAGAGGTACGTGCTAAACCCAATTTTTATTATAAATTGGAAGAGGGTTAAACAATTATGACTTTTATTATTTTGATTTTTTTATCCGCGAACGTATGTTTTCACCTGCGAACGTCTGCTTTCATCCGCGAACGTCTGCTTTTACCCGCGAACGTCTGATTTTATCCGCGAACGTCTGATTTTATCCGGGAACGTCTGCTTTCACCCGCGAACGTCAGCATTCACCTGCAAATGTGTTTTTATCTGCAAAGTTTGATATCATCCGTAAACGCCTACATTCGCCCGATTTCACCAGAGTTTGCCTGCATTTTGTTTTTTTCATCCCCGAACGTCTGCTTTCACCCGCAAACATCCGTTTTCATCCGCGAACGACTTCTTTCACCCGCGAAAGTCTGATTTCATCCACGAACATCTGCTTTCACTCGCCAACGTTAGCTTTCATCCGCGTACGTCTGCTTTTGAGTTTGAATGTCTGAGTTTGCCTGTATTTTGTTTTTTCTGTTTTTGTCCGATTTTATCCTCGAACGTCTGCTTTCACCCGCAAAAGTCTGTTTTCACCCGCAAATGCATTTCTACATCTGCGAACGTCTGCTTTCGTCCGATTTCATTTGCGAACGTTTGCTTTTACCCGCAAATCTGCTTTAGTTCGCAGACGCGTCTACACAGAAAAAAAAAGTACATAATATTAATGTATTTTAATATTGTGACAATGTATGCGCACATTAAAATAGAGCCGATGCACAAATACATTATTATAATGTAAATGTTTCATTAATGCATGACAAATTACATTGAACAATGAAGAGTACATTGTTATAATGTAACAGTATACATTGGTCAATGTATGTCATACATTTATAGTATGTACCTTATTCATTAATATAATGTACCCTGTACATTGATATAATGCACCCTATACATTGATATAATGCATCTTGTACATTGATATAATGTACCCTGTACATTGATATAATGTACCCTGTACATTGATATAATCTACCCTCTACATTGATATAATGCACCCTGTACATTGATATAATGTACCATGTACATTGATATAACTATATATTATTATAATTGACTGTGCGTTCCACGAAAGATTGGCGGTCTTAGGAATGTGATGCAATCCTTTATTTCTATATAACGGCCAACTTTTAATTATAATAATAATGGTTTTCCATATATTTGCAGCCGTTGCAGGCAAACGTATGCAATAAATCCTATCCCGATATCAATAAAGAGTTGGCCGTTACACAGAAATGAAGAATTGCATCACATTCCTAAGACCGCCAATCTTTTGTGAAACGCACTGTATAGGGTGTTTTTGGATGAGGAAAAAAACACATTTTTATACATATTAGATTTTTTATTTAAATACTCTTTTAATAAATGAACTTTACCAAAATTGTTTGTCGTTTTAAATAAAAAAAAGGTTTCTAAGAAATTATAAATCATTACTGATTCGGGCGGAAAATATAAATTAAACAAATAAATACATTTAAAGCAATTATCTACTGCCCTTAATACACTAAAAAATTTATATCGGATACCATCAAAATAAAGATAAATTTCTTTAATGTTTACCTCATCCTTTCCTATCCAAAAAATAAATAAAACTGCTGTGCATTGACTTGCTTTTTTTTAAATGATCAAGATGCTTCTCGAACTCCTCCAAAGTGGGTGAGAGGTACAAAAATGCGTCTTGTGAATCCTTTATCGTAAATTTAGTTGTCACGTTTTTTTCTGTGTTATCTTTTTTGACTATTTTGCCAGTTGGATTGCCATGGATTACCAGAAAAATTGTAGCATCTCGTGCATCTGAAACAATAGCAACATAATATTATTTCACAAGCATCTAAGGTAATTTCGATAAAAAGTGGCCTCATTTATCGTAAAGTGTTATTTTCATATATTATATTACTTTTTACATTAATAAGTGATATTCCTTACCTTTTTTTCTATTTATCTGCTTTTTACTTTCACAATAACCACCTGATTCAACTCACAAATACAAAAGAATAATAATTTCAATTTTTTCTTAGGGTGTGGGCTCTGGAACAGAAACAAATACGTTCTTGCACTGTTGGCTAGTAAAGC